TTGAAGCTTTTGAGGTAGGGACTAAGCGGTACCGTTGGAACCTTTTGAGGCAGGGACTACGCGGTACCCTTGAAGCTTTTGAGGTAGGGACTAAGTGGTACTGTTGAACCTTTTGAGGCAGGGACCAAGGGGTATTCTTGAAGCTTTTGAGGTAGGGACTAAGCGGCAGTCAAAACGTTAGCCCTTAATGTGGACAATGAGTGGAACCTGCTAGAGATTTCCTAATGTGGAATGTCATCCTTCGCTAGTCTACCGGATCCTTCTGGGGGACATATCCAAAACCCGATTGTCCTGTGGGGGGTGCAACTTGGCAAACCGGCGAGTTAAAAAAAAAAAAAAAAAAAAAAAAAGAAAGAAAGAAAGAAAGAAAGAAAGAAAGAAAGAAAAGAAAAGAAAAGAAATGGGGCGAGAATTTAGGGGGCGGGAAGAGGGGTCAGACCAGGTCTTTATCTGGTCTGAGCAGTCAGCATCCACCCTTGTCTCCCAGTTTGGCGACTAGCCACTCAAGGCTGTGTTGGAGGTGTTAACAGGGTTCAAAAGGAGTTTAAACCACCAGTACTTGGCCCAGCTATCAGCCGCGGAAAAAAATAGAGTACAAATGTTTCTAGTTGGGTGAATTTGGGCGCTCCTGTAGTAGCCCGTACGTTTCCTAAAATTGTGTAGCGTTAACGGGCACGACTTTACGAAGTACTGGTGGTTTGAAGGGGTGTTTTCGATGTCTTGAGCTTGCTAAGGGCACATTGAAGTGACCCTCGGGCTCATTCCACAGAATCCACAGTCAGTAACTGTTTCTTTCATAGGACTAAGAAAGGTTGAATGCCTGAGGGGTTAAAAAAGGAAATACATGGCGCTGATGTATTATCATATAGTTATAAATTATAATGATTGGAAATACATGGCACTGATGTATTATCATATAGTTATAAATTATAATGATATCGAGGTCTGTTGATTATTGCCCCTCTTGATAGCACTCCTACTGGCTTGTCCTGGGAGTCAGGAGGATTACCTACCTCATCAGGCGACCAGTCTGTTGTCTTCCCTCTACCGTTAATCCTTGGGGGGCAGGAACTGACGTCTTCTCCCAAGTAGAATGGGCGCCGTACGGTCATTAGCTCTGTATCTAGACAGACATTTACCCCAAATACGGTTATTATGACCATATACTTGGGGGACGACGGTGAGTAGAAGTCGAAGAATTTTCCTATTGAGGTTACCTTACAACTTTGTCAATACAGAGAGTGAGAGAGGTCAATGCAGAGAGAGAGAGAGAGAGAGAGAGAGAGAGAGAGAGAGAGAGAGAGAGAGAGAGAGAGAGAGAGAGAGAGGTGGGGAGAAATTATAGGGCATGGATGAGAGAGGCTTTGAGTATGGACCATTGAACTATCACAGACCCCACAGGCCCACGGCAGGAAGGGTACTTCGCCAGAGTGCCTAGCAGAAACGTTTGTAAATAAGAGGGCATAAGAGAAATTATCCAAATTATCAAGTCGTTCTCACCTTCATTGTGAATGTCAACATAATTCCAGATATTATCCAAACTACTACAAAATTGCAGCAAGTGATGTGCAGAAAGTTTGTAAGCGAAAAAAAAAAAAAAAAAAAAAAACCTCAAAAAAGTTTGTAAGCGACCCACAAGAACAGCTTCGACTCCGATGGAACCGCCAGAAGACACACTGTGGTGTCCAAGGAGTGCAGTTGGCTGGGCCGCAGTGTAGCAAACGTGGTCGTAGTGAACAGTGTGTTCCACAATCGCCATCGGGGTGACTTTCGTGATCGGGGTGATTTTGTCATCCTACCCCTTAAGTGGAATTGGCCGCGGGGGAACGGTTTGTGGGGCCGCCACGCACCGAAAAGCGGCTCAAAATTCAATGCGGGCCATTTGATGGGGGGGGGGCATGACTGCTGTACCAAGGTGGAATCTTTGCTAGTGTGTGGCACGACAGTCAGTCCCTAAGGTTTCAGATTATGTGTCAGTGACCTAGCAGAGTGTGCGTGAGATGACGATGCTACTCCCGGAATAATCGCATTCCCTCTCCCTCGAATCGACTTTCAATGTAGCACGTGTTGACAGGTCTGATTTGCATAGTGTGTGGCACGACAGTCAGTCCCTAAGGTTTCAGATTATGTGTCAGTGACCTATCAGAGTGTGCGTGAGATGACGATGCTACTCCCGGAATAATCGCATTCCCTCTCCCTCGAATCGACTTTCAATGTAGCACGTGTTGACAGGTCTGATTTGCATAGTGTGTGGCACGACAGTCAGTCCCTAAGGTTTCAGATTATGTGTCAGTGACCTATCAGAGTGTGCGTGAGATGACGATGCTACTCCCGGAATAATCGCATTCCCTCTCCCTCGAATCGACTTTCAATGTAGCACGTGTTGACAGGTCTGATGACTTTCAACGTAACACTTCCTCAGCGGGTATCTAAGATGACCGTGAGCACTATGATGAGGAAGCATCAAACAGAAAACATGTGCCAGTGCTGATCCTGTAATGACCATTCTGTGTGTGTGAGAGCTTTAGTACCCATCGGCGCCCCCTTTCGGGGTTTCCATGATAGGTACGAGTATCTCTACTCTTTGTGTGAAGATACACAGTTACACAGTTTGTGTTCTTAGTCCAGTTAGCAGATTGTGTACAGAATTGTACCAGCGCTCTCTTGCTTAAACCACCAGTACCTCCACGTTCTTAGGCCGTTAGCGAGGTGGCTGAGTCGGCCTGCCGCACGGGGCTATATTCATTTGCATCAGTGGGGGCCTAAGAATGCGCTAGGTACTGCCAGCTTGATGGTTTAACAAGCGGGTTGCCGCTGCCACGGCAACAATGAGACAGCTTGAAAGTGGAGTCTTATCCCCCCAACGCCTGCATGGTTGGCATTGGTTGCAGTGTAATTGATCTTCCGCACACCACACCCCTCAAGACCCTGCTGCATGCATACACACAGCTACGTGGTCCAGGTACAATCTCCCAGCTAGCTACTGCTGTGGGTGCAGTTTCGGTACTATTTCTGTGAATCAACTCTGCACCGAACCCGACTGGCCATCTCTGGCTTCAAACCACCAGTACTCTGGAGCCTCTTTTTCCCAAGGTAGATATGTGCTGCACGCCAGAGAAAAAACGAACCACCACGGGCGATTTTTTTTTTTTCTCTTTGGCTGGTTCTGCGAGCCAAAGAACTCCAATAGGCCGAGCCCCGAAAGTCACGACGGCATATGCACGGCCGCATCGGGAGAAAAATGGCTGGGCAAAGTACTGGTGGTTTAACAGCCAAGTTGTCTTAAACGGCCAGTACATCCAAGCCTCTTCTGTACGAGTTGGATTCCCGCCGCCCGCCAAGCTTTGCCAAAAGGACAGGACTGCGTTTTGGTTTTCATTTTGGCTCGCGCCGCCAAGCAGTTTAGTCTGGCCCGCGATCTTTTAAGATCGCGCCAATCGCTATGCTCAAGTTGCCTGGGGCCATGTTGGTGGGTTTAAACCACCAGTCCCTTTCCCAGCTTGAAAAAGCCGACGCGGTCGTTAATGCGCCCCGTCGGGCGGGGTACCCACCGACATGA